TTATATATTATAGTAGTCTGATTGCTCACTTTCAATGGGTCTCTTTTCAACAGCTATTTTGAAAATTTTCATATTTATTTTAATTATAAAGCATATTTGGTTATGATGTAGTTCTTGAATATATATACATGGAAAAATAGATTTATTCCCAAATAAAATGCTCAATAGTACATTTATGATTGTCTAGATTTTTCAGCTCTAACTTCTATTTAGAAGGCAGACAGTAAGGTACATAGGTATGAGTCTGAGTAGTACAATTTCTTGAGTCCTTTTGTTCAAGCTTCTCTAAATATACCTGCCAAAATTCACTGAAGACTAACCTCTGGGACTTGAAAACAAAGAAAGAGGAAAAGAAAAAAAAAGCTCCTTTTTGTTTTCAAAGCTATATTGGGCTTTTATTTAGTTGAGGCTTGAGACCTAAGTGACACTCCCCTGATATGTACATAGGAGTGATTTGAATGAGAACAAAGACACCAGAATGTTGGTGGAGGTGCCTTAACACACAGCTCAGCCTTTCATATTTAAAACGTTGTCTGAACCTGCAAGAACAATATTGGACCCAGTGTTTAAGTCTGAGCATTTTTTTTTCCCTTTGTTTAGCTCCAGTTCCAGTGAGAGAGGATTTTTTGTAAGTGTGTGACAAGTAAGAAAAAAATTGGTAACTGCTCAATGGTGGTAATGGGAGAAAATACAGAAGTAGATAATAAGGCAAGCACCCCAATGGTTTGTTTAAAATCTGGAAGAGAAGGTGAGGTGAAACAGATGGGTCATTAGGCTTTGAGGCTGTGACATTTGGAAGCTAGAGTAACATTTTCTTTGAAACTGTGAATAAACAGCTTGAGAATAGTCTATGATGTTCTTTTCTGATACTGGTTTTATTCCATTTGTCTCAGGGCACTGAAAAGCAAGTGTTGATTAAATTGTCTTGCTCTAATTATTATGCTGGAATCTATTATCTGTAAAATATTTTGACTTCTTATACTTGATTTCGGTATAACTGAAACTTAAGCTTATATACAGGCCCATTTAAAGACCTGAAATCTTTTTGAGATTTTTGTTATGGGACTACTCTTCTGGTTTACGTTAATCTCTTGGAGTGCTGTTCATGACATGTGTTTACACAACTGCATTGTATCTTCAAGCTAGAAGGGTCTATAGCAATGTGAAAATAAATGAAGACCAAACAAATGAGAATAGGCAAAGGCTGTTTATTCAGAGCTTGCATTTGGCAGAGATTCAGGCACACAGAGGAGTGGAAAAGCTTTACAGTGGAAAAACAAATGTGTTAAATAAAATGTGGCCTAAAGCTGACTCTGTATGTAGTGAACTGCAACCTAACTCAGTATGTAAAGAAACTGCAACCTAACATAAGATTATGTTCTTGTAGCAAGTAGCTGAATCTTGACCAATCATAGCAGCTGAGAACATGTCCAAATAAGGCAAAGGCTGGACTCTGACAAATCAAGATATTTCTGTATGTCATTTCAATTTTTCTTTCTGTAAATACTATTTTCCTACATTGGGTAGGGAGCTCTCTGATCCTTTGTTGGTTCAGGGTGCTGCCCAATTCATGAATTGTTTCTTTGTTCAAATAAACTCTGCTAAATTTAATTAGTCTAAAGTTATTCTTTTAACAA